CATATATATGAACAGCAAGAAAATGCATAATAAGTATCGCTCATTCGAACAGGGTTGGAGTATAAAAGCACCAGCAGCTATCCGATATGTTGCCGGTCTGCAAAAACCCTATTCTTTCACAAACAGAAGGAGCTTGGTCGGAGCTGGTGTCGGCGGAAGGAGGCTTGACTGACAAAAAAGACTAGACTTAAGCAGTACAGGAAACAAGCGGTCATATACCGCATGAAGCCGCCAGGTTTGTTCCGTAAAGATTTCAGCAAACGAAGACATGGATCTACTGTATCGAAAGATGGTATTACGAGGGCGCCAGGACTGTTGGAGGACTGTGACGACGGCTCGCAGTTACGAGGGCGGTGGTTAGTCGGCAGAAGTAGCAGTGAGAACGCGAGACTGTTAACACACTGAGTTGTAGTATGGCCGCTTGCTCCCAATGCGGCATTCATCTGCTTTTCCTTTCTGCGCCAAGTTTCCTTCTGCGCACACTACCCTCGCAGCCAAACCCCCTTTTCTGACCCTTACTTCAGCGCAGGCGGCTACGTTTGCCATGACCTGACCCTGCTACAAATACTAACGGCTGCAAAAAGAACGGGCCGCCTCCGTTGACGATCAAGTTATCAACAACCTTGGACGCATTTTAAATATATACATATATATATATATAAGCGAAGTAACGGAACTACTTGGTAATGTAATTAATTTCCTGAAACATGGTGATGAGAAAACTGCAACGAGAAAATTACGACAGAATAACAAGTATAACTGTAACAGGATAACAGGAGCAATGCGACAGGTTGGAAAAGTAACTATGAGGAAGTCTATCGCACATAAGCAAGGCAAAGGATAATGCTACGAACAGTCAAAGGCCCTTGATAATGACTCTTGTTTCATACAGATGTAAATTTGTGATACGAGACAGCTCTTTCGAGTTGATTCCCTTCAGAAAAGGCAATGTTTATAACCGAGCGTGAGCTCCCATTGATGATACTCTCTCCCTTTCACAATTTGGTACCATGCTAGACCCCATTTTATTTCGCACGGCTTTCTCGTCGAAGTTCAGGGCGCTACTACGTGAGTCCCTTAAGAGCGGTTACCATTATGGTTTACGTTTTCCTGCTTTGTCCAAGAGTCCGGTTATGGTGGCAAGACATGCAGAGCTAAGTATAGTTATTTCGAAAGCATTACGCAGGGCAAGAGTGCGTTTGACGTATGAGTCAAGCGGTTTGGCACTACATGAAGGGAGGTAGGAAGTTCATGGCTAATGCTTTGTATGATGCACAACCGTTTCATGCATATTGGTTCTCTCCTTTACATCAGAGCCCTTCTTACATAATGGGCGGTTGCAAAAAAGTGCGAAAGTAGGCCGATCTTTATTAAAGCCATTTCTTCACTCAAATTGCAAGTAAGTTCCTAAAAATAAGTAGGGGTCCGTGGAGCTTATTAGTAAATGTCCTGAAAAAATGTATGACACAATATACATTTTATGACACAATTTTACTAGTGTAATCTATAAAGGAAAAAGCGACACCCAATACACTGTAACAACAAGAGCTTCTTGTACGATATAATAAGAAGTTATCTAATAGCACTTATATGATAATATATTGGTGTACAAAACATAGATTATATTAAAAATCAGTTGAACAATATATACACCTGAGTACAAGGTTGTTAGCCTTAAACAAAAGGGCTCCATAAACGCGATAGATCCCAAGAAGTTATAAGAACATTAGCAATACGGTCTAGATTAAGTACCCTTTTAATATTTTCTTCATCATAAAAAAGCTTAGTATCCATTTGACCGCCATAGCGCTTGGTCGCTAAACTTTTCTAAAAACTATTGGGAAAGTATAGGTAAATTTTCAACGAACGTAAAACCACAACAATGATTTTAATTTTAAACAAATGCTACGAAAAATAAAGTTAATATATATATCCAATGGCTGAACGTCAAGTCTGTTAATGTACACCTCGGTAGAATAGCAGTAGCGGCAGCTAGCGTCTAGAGCCCACGTAAAGTGTGTTGTTGAGAGGCGCAATTTATGGTATAGTGAATGACTCAGAATGTGCCGGCGAAACGATAGTGGGACAAAGTCAACATACAGAACAACCGCTGAACAGTTAGCTAGCATGTGCATAGCAAGAACACAAAAACAGAATACAAAATAAAACAGAGTAGCAGTAACATTAATAAAAACAGTGACGGCTTGTTTAGTTAATGGGATTTCGCAAAAATGCTGTACTTTCAATATGGCCGCTTAGAGAATTAACTTCCATTTCCAGATTATAATCTAATAATTCATAGCCAAAGATCTTGCATTTGTAAATAGGCATAGGTCGGAATGCAACATGGAGAACAGCCTTTTTGTTTTTACGAGGGCAATAACTAGATCTTGGTCTTAAATTAAGATAAATAGAAATATAGCGCATGACGGCTTGCAAACAAACATGCCTTTATTTGCTTGTGCTGTTTATAGATACAACGTTTGGTCCTTATTCAAAATGGACATCCACTTATTACATATTTACAAACGTACAAATACCTAAACTAAGTAGCCTCAGATCACGATAATAATTTCCGAGTTGCAATCGAAATCCAATGTATGTGAAGAGATCGTCTGTAGTGTTAAACCGACCTTCAACAAAAACGGGTACAAGTGTGATCCTCTCAGGGTATAGTACAGACTACGCGGAATTAATTAATAACAAAAAACAGTACCATGAATAACGGACATATTGTAAAACACGAACTGAAAAGAAGTATCTTACATAAACAAGTTACATAAACAGGTCAGTGTGCCAAAAACTAAAATATTAATGGCTACGTACTACCAGGAGAACGAACACGAATTTAGCGAAGACATAGATCTCAAGTGTTAAAAAAAATTTATAGAATCAAACAATATTAATTTAATTCTAGATATATAACATATTATTACATTATATATACCATAGGCAAATTCATTATATGGGGAATAAAGCAGTAAGCTATTACGTAATAGGTGATCCGATAATGTGGTACCATGTTTTGCAAACATTAGATACGGAAGGCTTAAATGAAAAGTATGGCAGTGGTGGACACAAGATTCAATAAAGAAGTATATTTGTGTGCTGAACATAATGTCTTGATTGTGAATTCCTCTGTTTATTTTTGACTAGAAAAGAATGGGAACCGCGTACTTAACAGAATCGAAAAGCCCTGAAAGCCACTGAAAGTGACCGGTAATTACGCCTGGCTATGTTTAGGCAGAAACATATGGGAAACCTGTCAATAAAAAGTCATTATTGGATTCTTTGGAAATATCTTAGATCATGGTAATGTGGTTCGTAAAAGAAATAAGCCCTATGTATCTTTTTCCATGCGCCGCACTTGTACTTATGCAGATGTTCCTGAAGACAAATGACTTTACGCTATTTAATATTTGGTGAGGCTGTTTGTAAGAGATGCGCTTCGGCACTCAACTCAACTAGCATAACGAGGAATGAGGATGTTACGTAATAGTTAACGTGAGAACGAGCCTCTTTGCCAGTTAATGTATCCAATGAGTTACCATAACCAATCTACTTGTAGTTTTGATGCCAAATAAATTGCAGAGGCTTCCGTTAGCAAAATTTCCAGTTGTTCCCATACGCTGGACATTGATCCCATCGTTGTTAAGGTCGGGCATTAAGGCAATGGTCTTCAAAACAATATGGCTTTGGCGACGCTCGTGCACATTTTATTGACTTCGCACTATTCAGAGATCCTTTGATTGAATGCTGCTGAAATCTTTCTCTACTCATAACACTGTCAACATGTAGCAACACGCTCATAAATTCCTAATCAACGTTGAATATTTTTCTTTACGAACTAGAAATTAGGTTGGCCCGGTTTTTACTGTAATAGTTTATTGGTTTTTATCCCAAATGTTTTTTCAATAACCTTAAATATGGTCGATAGTAAACTTGAGGGATAACAACTTTATATGGAAGTTCTGCGCTCTGCGGATAACTTTAGAAACTCTAAAGCGAAACGTGTCTCCGTATTGAAAATTATTATCGAGAAGGTCAAATACAGAGAGATCTAATTTTTTAAATTGAGCAGTATGTGGCCCTGCGAGCCATCTACCTATAGACTGCTCATAACTGCTATTAGTCGCTCGTTGGTTTCACATGACATGAGCATATTTAAATCATACCGAAAAGGGATTCAGATGTAATGAAATTGTAGGGTATTCTTCCGCACAGTTGTTGGTTATCAACTCGCATTTTCCGTACATTTATGACACTGTTTCAGAATTTTAGTTCTGCGGCTGGCATATTGATTGGATGCATAGTACAGTTCCTATTTTCTTAGAGAGTGTGCTGACGGAAAGTTGGCGGTGGAAATTTCTTTAGCAAGAGTTACTCTCCCTTTTTTGGCCGTCGAGTTACGCTTTTCAAAGGTCACGAAAGTACGAACTTACACAGCCTGCCATATTCAACTTTCAAAGCTAAAGACAAATATAGTTTTTTTTTATAATAGTTGAGATTTAATTTGGTAGAGCAGCTCTTCGGTTGTGGCACTCTTGTCTTTAGCATACTGCATCGCCTTTTATAATTTTTCTGTTCAAAACGAACTTTCAGCTAATGTTAGTGTCCCGTCGAATTGGAAGCAAATCTTTTTACGAATTCAGAGCTTTCTTCTCTGAGGTCGCATTCAACAATTTCTGATGCGACGCCAGCTACTCTCCTAATGCCCTCGCATCAACTCCTTTGGAGGATGTACCAACTAAGTGCTACAAAGTGGTGGCAATGTTCTTACATGATAGTGTTGCCAGCCAGATGGGATACCGCGATGGAGTTTGTGAGTGCGAAAATCATACACTCGATACATTCACACCGTCCGCTGCTAACTACGTAACGAGTGTCATTGAAATTGAATAATACTCATAATTTAATGAGATGATAGCCGTCATTCTTGTTATTTGGATG